GTGCCAGGTAATTCATTTGGTCAAATGAATTTGGTCAACAGGTACTTCTGTTTCTCAGCAGTTTTTGCTGCAGTAGCCACTGCACCTTGTTTATAATGGAATTATCAAAATAATGTTCTCCTAGAAATGATCAAACTATTTGTTGTTTTTTAAAAATGATTTTTAAAAAAGTTAAGCTCTCAGGACTTGGATCTCTCAAGTGTAAAATGGCATAATAATGTCCCTATCCATAGGACTGTGAAAAGTATCAAATGAGATAGCAGATGTGAAAATACTTGGAAAAGTCAAGGGTGACATACACATGCAGTATATGCTAGGACTATTATTACTATTGTTATTAGTCTCAGCTATTTAAATAGTATCTATTTACAGAAGATAACATGATGACATCCTATCTATTAGGAAGTAATTATTTTCCTTCCAACTTTCTCAGTAAATTAAACAATTCTATTTCAACTTAAAGAGCATTTAAAGGTTTTCCAAGACATTTCATTCAAATAGATAATCACAAACTTTCATTGGTAGTGTTTGTATTTGCAATTTCTAAAGAATTTTCTCAATAGAAAGCTTAACTAGAACAATAAATATAAAATCATCAAAAGCGATTAAAATATATAATGTCAAATATATAAAATATATCATGTCATTCTCTAGAAAGTACAGTTGAATTAGAGACACTGAACAATCCTCCCAGCATTATCATGAACTAAGTAAGATATGAAAATGGAGGTTTACATATGGCTACTGTGAAGTCAAATGAGGAGAAAGCATAACCCTTTATGTGTAGAAGATAAGTGTAGTATCCGATTGAAGACTCAAACAGTAATTATTTATTCTATTCACCTTGCTTCTCAGAGAAACTTCATCTCCTTGGCAGAAAGAATGCTTTCCAGGAGTCAGTTAGTGTCCAAGGAAAACCCTGTTGTTTCAACGTAAATATCCAGAGGGAATGAGAAAGCTGAATATCTCAAAGCTGAATATCTCAACATTTTCAACAATATATAGAGTTGCATCATGGTCTGATTTAATTTGTGATTCTTATGTGAGTCCAATCAGATAAAGAAACAGGGAAAAATGAGGCCATCCTTGTAAGTTTGCTTTGGAAAGAAAAGCTCTATTTAAATATGAAATATCAGAGGTTTTTCATAAAATGCATGTGTATATCTCATTTTTACTAACTTGAGTAGAGGGTATAAAAGAAACAATCTACACACTGGTCTCCAAAAATCAATTTACTATAATTTTAGAAAATAGAATATACAACTATGTAAAATAAAGTCCACTCACTCACTGTGAGTTTGTGCCTGGCCTCTGTCTAAAGCACAGTTGTTTCACCTTTGACGAACTTGGAGAGGATGACTTTCAACCTGGGTCATTCATCAATTCAACATTATTTACTATTATCTTTGAGGCTTTGCCATTTTTCTCCTCACCCCCCCTCCTGTTCTCGTTTTTGATCTGCAGAGGGGCTGTTGAAGCCTTTCCCTGCTCTCAAGCTGCCCCATCTCTCCCTCCTTTAGTTGTTGAAGGCTATCCTTCCTACTTGAAAGAAAAAGTAGAGATCATTAGCCATGAATTCTCTAAACTTTCTACCCCTCCGTCTCCAAATTTAAATTTCCCCCTTTCACTTGTTTTTTCCTTTGTTGTTCTAAAGAGTACAGTACTTATCTCCACTACTTTTCCAAAGTTAGTCCCTTTACTTGAGCTCATGATTATATTTTTGTCAGCAGCTACAGCTCCATCTTTAACGCCCCCTTCCCCTTAGCTCAAGTGGCTTAAATTCAAAGAAATGTCCCTCTGAACCTAATTCTCCCTCAAGCAGCTTTAGTTCTCTTTCCCCCTTTAACTTATCAACCTTTTTAAAGAGATGCCCGCACTGGCTGATATCTGCGCTTTCAATTCACTCCTCAACCCACTGGGCTTCTAATTCCATGACCTCACTAAGAAGCGTCCCTCAGTCGTCATCCAAAACCTAGTAATTACAGGAGGGAATTGGTTCTTCTCATTTCTCCTCATCCTCTGGACTGCTGTTTCTGCTCTCTGTCCTTGTTCTTGAACTGTTGCCTTGTTTGCCCCAGAGTTCCATCCTCATCATGGAAAAGCCAAATCCATTACCTATTATGTGCCATTATGTTGTCCACTCTCTATCCCGTGTTCCTCATGTCAACATCACCAGTCATTTACTTGTTCAGGATCAAAACTTCAGCACTCTCTTTGATTCTCCTTCCCCACAGGCTGTCCCCCAACCCACACCCACACACATGCACACGCATACACGCACCATTCTGTAAGCCTCTTGGCTCTTGCATCTGGACCAACCTGTTCATCCCACCACCACTCTCTTGACCTGGGCCTCCATCATCTATAGCCTCCTTTGTTTCTACAAATTTCAATATGATCTATTCCCCTGTAGTCACTTCACTCTCTACAAGCATTCAACAACAGAGTAATCAGAATGCAGTAAAAACAAGAATTTGATCATGCCAAATCCCAGCTAAAAACCTCTGTGGCTGTCATGTCCCATAGGCTGTATCTGAACCTTCTTTCTCTCCTGCCACATTTCCCTACTCACACCCACCAGACTGTCATTCCGTAATTTAGCAATGATTTTCCCTGCCTCAAATTATGCAAATATTGCTTCCCTAGCCTGGCTTTCCCTGGCTGGCAAACTCTCCTTCTCCTCTCTGCTCCCACAGTTTTGTAAATGCCTCAAGAATGGTGCACACCATATTTTATTATAATGGTCTAAAATGTCAGACCTCCCACTATCCGCAGATTGGGAGCTTTGAATACACCACAGTTGCTCAACGAGTGTTTGCATTATGTGTGAATGAACAAATGAATGTCTTGAATTTCAAGCCTGAGAAAATAGGATAAAAACAACATAGAAATAGGGCCACTGGGAAATGGGGTGAAGAAGAGTGAACACCATTAATACAATGTATTAATAATGAATATATACTAATTAATGACTGTGAGGTAACAGTTGAACAAGAAAGTATAAATTTCCAGAAGGCAATTAAGTGCTCTAGACCTAGAGCTCACATATTACTGATGAACATGTACTAATTAATGATTGTGAGGTACAGTTAAATAAGAAAGTACCAATTTCCAGAAAGCATTTCTGGAATGCTGCAGATCTGGAGCTCCCTGAGGTTGCAAGGACAGAGATAATACACAGTAACTCATCTGAAGAAAGCTGATAGTTGAACCTTTACACAAAAGAGTTTTCTAAGCAGAGTCCAGAGGCCCAGGGGCTATGCTGTGGGGAAATTTGTTAAGGGGTGATAAGAGGAGTTAGTGAAGGAAACGTCTATGAGGAGGAGGGGACAGAGAACACAGCAATGATGAAAGCTAGGAGATGAAATGTACCTTGTATCTCCTCTAGTAACTGGTACCATGCCTTCCGCTTTATGGGTGACTGATAAATATTACTTGAATTAAATGGATTTTCAGAGGTCCATGGGAATGAAGACTTCAGACTATTAATTAAGGCAACACAACATGGTAAAAAATGTAAAGAGGAGATGTAGATCTTTGGGGTGGGGGTAAGAGGATGGGGAGAAATAAAACTTATTGAAGAAGTTTCACTGCCAAAAAAGCAGAGAAAACAAGGGTAGATTAAATATTTTTTGAAAGATGGCATAGATCTGTACATAATTAAAGATAGCTGGTAAGATGCTTTTACTTGTAGTCCACAAAGACTCCATTAGGACTTACATATGGTCTTTTCTACTAATTACCTGATGTGAGACCTGTCATTCCATAAGATTATTAGTTATTTGATATCAAGAACCCTGTCTTATAGTTTTCTTGTGTCTCCTGCAGTGCTTCAAAGAGGGACAGGTACACAATAGGAGTTTAATAATTCAGTATTTGAATCAAAATGATCACAGTTTAGTTGCTCATTCTCAGGGAGAATGGAGTATGAATTGTGTTATTTTACAACTGTTAACAAAATGACAACCAAGAACTATAGGTTGTGAAAATGAGTAAAGCACAATTTCATTTCTAGAACCCCATTTAGACCTATTGGGGTACTCTGATGGTCTGTTAGGATATCCAGAATAACACCAGACCCCCAAGGGCTCCATCTAGCCTAATTCTTATGAGATGAATTGCAACCTGTCCTGAGTTTGTGAGATGGTGTCATGAGAGGATGGTGAGTGTTACTGGACAAATGTCTAAATGCAGAGGAGGAAAGTGGTGACCAACTCTATACAGAGGTAGAATTACCCTAAATGACAGGGCATGTATTGAGTGAGAATAAGGCCCTATTTAGAAGCCTCCAGAACTTAGAAACCTAATAAACCCTACAGTAAACACAAGAATGGAATGTGCTGAGAAAATGAGCTAATGATAGTGTATGATCTGCAAACCTACTTATCAGTTTTAATTATTTTCCAAGCTGTTCCATGTCTTAAATGATATTCAAGTCTGTCTAATGTTTTCTGTGCTTGCCTCCAGCAATTCGTATTCCAAAGATGGTTTAATTTAGGCAAAACCGCAAAAAGATCTCTCAAATGATCTGGCAAACCAGTGCTAACATCTGTACCCTACATTAATTGAGATATATTCAAAATGCTATACACTCTAATATCACAGGGATTTTCAAACTGAGTTTAAAGTTTTTCGAAATATTAGAAAATCTTCACGTGGCTGGGTTGCTAAAATAAAACTCAGGTCCTACATGAATATAAGCTAATGTTTTCAGCGTAAATGTTTCTATTAAAAATTTAATTCTCACTTTTCCCAGACAATGTATTCTCTGGGAAAATAAATGTTTCTTATCAATAGTGACAGTGTACTCAAGTTAAATCTACCATTTATCTTCAGTTTGTATAATTTTACTCACCATTCTTCCTAATTTCATTCACCTTCCTTAGAGAACGATGCAGTTAAATAAACGTATTGGTTTTATTACATCATCAACTCTGCAGATAAATTTACTTGATTTTCTTTAGCAGCTCCCTCTTCTCTTTGAGCACCCTTATACTTACATATCACTGGCGATGGAGGAATTTCGAGACATAGACTTTGGAGAGAGGTCATAATCGCTGTCGGATCGATACAGGAAGGACTCCCGACGTTGACTGTGGACAAAGTTTGCTTGGAGAATTAGCCCGGATCCTGGGCTGGTCATGGGATCCAAGGGACTCCGTCCCGAAGATGTGCCATTGTCCACATCGAAACTGTAACAAAGGAGAAGAAATGACATTGCTGTGGACCTTGCACGTTGATATTTTATTAAGGGAGATTTTAGTTTAGGAATCGAAAGTGGGAAAATTTACAGCTGATTCCTGCTGTTAAAAAATGATAATATTGAAATACACAAAAGTAAAAAACACACTGACTTCATATTCTTGTCTTCCTAAGTCTTTGTGTACTTTTGTTAATGACCAGATACAAGACGTAGGTCTCTCTAAACTCAACTTCAGTTAAAAATAAACTGTTCTGCAAAGAATAGTTCTCCTAAGGACAGAATTACTTTTAGGAAAAGAACAAAAAATACATAGTAATTCACTAGATATTTAGGTTGAATTCAACAAGTGCCCTTTATATGCCTAATACCATCGCTTCCCCAAACCTGAGCATCTCTCCCTCCGGCCAACACCTATCCAATCACTAATTTCTGTTGTATCCACTTCCCTCCATCCCCACTGGCAATATATTAAGTTTATATATATATATATTAAGTTTATATATATCAACTCTCACCTACATTATTATAACAGTCTTTAAATTAGTCTCTTGAATCCATTTTCCACCCTGTACCAAGAGTGATTCTTCTTAAGACATAAATCTGACTACACCATTTGTCAGTTTAAAACCTTTCAGTAGCTCACTACTGTCCTCAGGATAAAGCCCAAATTTCTTGCCTAGACTGATCAAGTCTTAACAATCCATTCTCAATTACAATTAACCATTTTCCCAACTTCAACATGCAACCCTCTTCCATCAGGCACTTCATGCTCCACTCATATTCAACTACCATCTCCTTATCTCAGGCTATCACTACTTAACCTTCTGCTTTCCTAGTTACTGAACCCTCCTATTCCCTGCCTGATTGTTATCCATCCTTGAGCATTAGCCCTCACCTGCAAGGCTGCGCTAATACCCCAGAGCTTAAGAGATGCCCTTTGTCTGTGCTCCCAAGACACCTTCCCACTCCCTATGGACAGCATTTACAATGAATTAAAAATGTTTACTACTTGGTCTCCATCCCTAGACTGTGAGCTCTCTGAGAATGGAGACAGGGTGTTCTTAGCACTTCACACGTCACTTCAGAAACCTTTACTAAGTGGTTTAATGAATGACTGAATGAATGAAAGGCACTGTGCTCGGCAATACAGATTTTAGAGTTGGGGGAATAAAGAACCACGTAACATCTTAACATCACAGTCCTTATATTCTAGATAAACTTTCCACAAAGAGTTTTTCTAGTCAAACATGAACCAGTATTAAAATAAAGGCAACTCTTGTGTATTCTTACGAGAGGAGGGTGATAGCTCAGGACAGCCCAGTAAGTATGTGGTTTAAAAAATTGTTCAATGAGTAAATAAACAAATGAATTCAACTTTAGTTGTTATCAACATTTTCCCCATTAGAGCCTTTATCCAAACTATTAAATAGCTAATTTTAAAATATTTTTTTACTTTATCTATTGAAGTTATTAATAAATAGTGTTATAGGGGCTTGCCTGGTGGCATAGTGGTTGAGTTCGCCCACTCGGCTTCAGCGGCCAGGGGTTCACAGGTTCGGATCCTGGGCGAGGACCTATGCACTGCTCATTGAGCCATGCTGTGGCGGTGTCCCACATACAGGATGGAGGAAGATTGGCACAGAGCTCAGGGACAATCCTCCTCAAGGAAAAAGAGGAAGATTAGCAATAGATGTTAGCTCAGGGCCAATCTTCCTCATCAAAAAAAATAATAAATAAATAGCGTCATAAGCCAAAGGTCGGATGCCAAAGTAGAAGGACCAAGAAGAGGCTTGATGTTTCATGATTCACCTATGAGTCTATGACCAAATGAAAACAATGACTCCAAATTAATCCATCTAGTAAAAAAGCAGGAAAAACTCCTAATCTAGCTTGGCCAGTCATAAACATGTTTTCCAATTTAAAATTTTCTTAGAATTGTGTCACTTTACAGATGTATTTATTTGGTCCTTAAAAGACAATGAGAGATTATCTAGTTGAATAGACTCATTTTAGACAAGGATACCAGCTCCCAGAAAAGTTAATTAACCAAAGTTATTGAGCTAACTGGATTTAATCATCTACTGTTTCTGAAGTTGTTCCAGCTCCAATGCATAATTATGTAAACTGCAATTGTACGTTAGCAACTGTGACACCCAAACAGGGGACATCTGTTTCACTCGGACAGGCACTTCATGTATGTGGGACTCCTGGCAATCAATGCTGAGAAAGGCCAGGAGAGGAAGGGATCTCTAATCATTAAAGAGACTTATTCGGGATCTCTGGATCTCTTCTTGGATACGCTTAATTAAATAAGCATATATCAGGTACCTACTATGAACACACTGAGATTCAAAAATAAAGGAGATGAGATTATTCCAGGCTGGGATAGCTGAGAAGTCTTCATAGCAGAGCAGTATTTAAAGAAGGCTTTTGAAGGCATTTAGTATGCAGCTGAAAGACATTAAAGATTTCTGCTAGGGAGAAGACAGGGGAGATTTCTACTCTAAGAAAAACAGTCATAACAGCTCTTCAGCATGAGGAGGACCTAATGTGAACACATTAACAAAAATATGTTGATTTCTCTTCAATATCAAGATGTTCTTATGGTTTTAAAAAATAAAATATAACTATCCTTTCCTTGCCATGCATAAACAGAAATATAGGAGATATAGGAGTGTAATTTTGGGTTTAGTTTTTCTCAGTTACATTGAATAAATATCAATATAACCCCCCAAATCAGTAATTTGTATTTTTTATTATTATAATTTTTCTAATTAAATTAAGCAAGTCTTAACTTAGAGAAATTCTCCACTATAAGTTTTGGAACACATACTGCTAAGTATCTTAAAATATTTAACATTTTTTGCAATAATATTACCTATTAAAACCAAAAATTTATTAATAGGCCATAAAATGTTTGATATGGGATATTCTAGGGGCTTTGATATTTTTCTTCGTAGGTTGTAATATAACAATTTGTCCACTAGATGGAGATCATTTTCTTAAGGAAAATCTATTGTAAATAAACTTAAAGGCCCAAACTATCAATTTCTTAAATGACTCATGAAAACAACCTCTTAAATATCATCCAAAAAATAAAACCTCACAATCTATAGGGAGTGATTACTAAATATTGATAATATTATAGTAATCTAAGAAATATTAGTATCAGCTTTATTTATTTATTTATTTTAATTTTATTTATTTTTCCCCCCAAAGCCCCAGTAGATAGTTGTATGTCACAGCTGCACGTCCTTCTAGTTGCTGTACGTGGGACGCGGCCTCAGCATGGCCAGAGAAGCGGTGCGTTGGTGCGCGCCTGGGATCCGAACCCGGGCTGCCAGCAGCAGAGTGTGAGCAACTAACCGCCAAGCCACGGGGCCGGCCCTAGTATTAGCTTTACAAACAGATTGAGAATGATCTAAAAATGGTCACTGATGTTTTATTAGATATTTACTCTTAAAGAAAACAACAACAAAAGTCTCTTTTGTTCAAATATTAGAATTAAGGAACTTCCCTTGTAGGTTTGGGACAAATGAAGGCAGCACGTCTTTACTCAGTGGGCAATAAATCTACTGAGAGTGAATTTAGGCTGAAAATATAGATGGCTTCAAATAAGCTACTTATTTTTGAAACATAACTTGATAAATAGTCCATGTCATGGTATTATTCATAAAACAAGAAGGTGATGAGGGGTAATCCTAACCTTAGATGCTGGGACCAAAGAGATCAGTTGTGAACTTTTAACACATTCTTCAGCAAACCCTTTGATATCATGAATACTCTTTGGACTCACTGCCGATTAGATGGAGCCCAAGTACAAGGTTAGCAGAAGCTTGGGAAAGTAACTAACGAATAGGGGAGAGTAATAATGTCTGAGTATAATGAAGATGGTGATAAAAATAACAATATGATAATAAAACTTTTGGAGCACCATCCATGTGCCAGATATCATGCTCTGTGCTTTATGTACATTATCTCATTGACTCCCTACACTAACCCTTTGAAACAGGCACTATATTTTCCTCTTGACCAATGAGGAATCTGAGTCATAAAGAAGTGACTCTACATTAAGTAATGTGTTCAAGGCCACACAGTTTGTAAGTGGGTTTTAAACTCAAGCTGTCTGATTCCAGAGCCCGGGAGAATGGCCCCTGTGTTTATGTCTCTATTGCAAAGCCTCCTGTTAACCATTACAAAAATAGAAGAACCGCTCTTAGCTTCCTCACCTGGATGGAACTTCAAACGTTAACTCTTTGAAAGTAACATTCTGGTCAACTCATAGATCAGGCACGCCAAGGCTAATTCTGGGACTAGGTCTTTATATAACCCCAAATTTTGGAATTTGCCAAATCCTCTATTTTTCCAGTCCTTAACACAGCAGTAATCTGCTGTAACCCATTTGATGGGTTTCTTTATAGAGTCTGAGAGTTCATTTGGAATAAGGAGGGTGGGTGGGTCTGTGGAAAGTCTTAGCAAATGGAACGAAGTGAGATGCTCTATTATTCCACACGTTTGCTATCCTTAATGCAGTTCAGTGATGCACACATTCCCTAACAGGGCTGTCTTTTACCCAGAAGGCACTTGTGGAGAAGCAATGATGCAGCTGTGGATGGCCCCCTCTGAGGGGGCAGTAAGAGTAAAGGCCAGCTGGCCTATTGCAATCACAACTGTTGAAAGCTGTGTGGACCCAGTACTACTCGGGACCATTCACTCCACAGGCCCATCCATTTCTACGGAATCCACCCCCAACAAAAACCAAACAGACAAACTGACCACCCAGCAAAAGTGCTCCCCAGCTCTCGCCACTCTTCCACGTCAGTGAAATTAATGGACAACTTGTCCTGATCCATCTTCCCTTCAGCTTCGTCCACTGTTCTCACACTTTGTGTCTACTGACCTTGTAATTATTCGTCTGCTTAGCATCATTTCTTACCCTTTTGGCCTGATGCTAGACCCGGCTTCTCCAGTTTCAACATTTTGCATCTC